CACAGCGGTACTGATCTCTTCTAAAGTTGTTAAGAGCCTTGCTGGAAATAAAGAACAGACATTCAGAAAGACTAAAAGGGTACAATACAAAAATGACACCTGGACAAGGCTACCTTGGGTGCATTTACATGGAGCCAGTCACTTTACCATGAATTTATTGGTCAATTTGGATTATCCGGGATTTCTGATTACTGCTCCTTTCCATCAAGGTTGTGGTGACTGTTTTGTTCCACTCATTGCATCTTATTCTCAGCTGGTGACCTCCTTTTTTCACTTCATAAAGGAAACCCAGGCAATTGGGGTGAGCCTCCCCATCTCCAACACCCTCCAAATTCACCTATATTTTAATTCCTAATGATGAAGAGGCTGATAACTGCCAGATACTCTGCATTCATGCATTGCCTTATTTTTCTCCTCACAACAGGATAGGTGCTAGTATCTTCCTTCTACATATGAGGAAGTTGAGGTTCAGGAAGACTTACCCACAGTCATATAGCTGTGGTGATGGAGCCAGGGTTAAACTCAAAGTCTGTCTGATTCCACTATTTCACTTTCCTTCCTTCCTTCAATTCTTTCCTTCCCTCTCCCTTTTCTTCCTCCCTTCCTTCTTCCTCCCTCCCTCCCTTCCTTCTCCTTCCTCCCTCCCTCCCTCCCTCCCTTCCTTCTTTCCTTCCGCCGCACCCCCCACCCCAACTCAGAGAAAGAGATTAGAAACCATGCCTTTCCCCCTTCTCCTTCTTTAGGCCCCAAGGAAACAGCAAACATTGCAGACAAACTGTCACCAAGATATTTCTGAATATTAGATGTGAGGAGCCAAGAAGGGGAAGGCTAGAAAAGACTAGAGGAGTAGGGGAATGGAAGGCTCTCGGCGCTAGTGGTTTCCATACAGCTTATTTATCTCTGCCAGGGAAAAGAAGATAATAAACTTTGGGGGGAGGGTATAGCTCAGTGGTAGAGTATTCGCTTAGCATGCATGAGGTCCTGGGTTCAATCCCTAGTACCTCCATTAAAAAATAATAACAAATAAATAAACCTAATTACTCCTACCCCAAAAATTATTTAAAAAAAGATAATAAACCTTGTCTGACACACTAAATTCTAGATGTCAATGAGATACTCTAGTGGATATGTCCTACAGCAAACTATATATAAAGGGCTTAGATTATAGATGTGGAAATCATTCAGTTCAACAAACTATAACTGAGTCATTCATCCATTCAACACACATTGATTGAACACCTACTATGTGCAAGGTATCTATTTTTTTAACTCTGAATTGAAAGGCATTTTTTGGACAACAAGGTATATAATTTGGGGAAAAAAAACTGAAACATATATTATCATAACTTTACCTGGAAGGCTGTGAGAAAGACAGAAGTAAAACCAGGTGGTTGTCCTCAGAGAGTTCTGAGTATGGTTTAAGGGTGGGAGGATTGGGAGGAGATCAACAAAAACACAAATGAGTATAATTCCAGGCAGTCTGTGGTATGTGCCATAATCTCAGTAGAAATCAAATGTGTTAAGAGTGTGAGAGAGAAATTTTGATTAGAGAGACATCTTTATGCTGGAATCTCATTGGTCATTCTTATTATTCATAACTTCTAAGTTAAATCATGAGAGTGGATGGAGAGAGAGGTAGAGAAGGAGACAGAGAGAGGAGAGAGAGAAAAACAATGGAGGAGTGGAGAGGGAGTGAAGAGATTCTGGAAGTAAGCCCTGGGTAAGGGTCACGTTTGGAGGAAGGAGAACAAAAAGGAGCCAGGGAAGGAGTCAGAAGGAATGTCCAGAGGAACAGGAGAATCAAAGCAATGTAAAGTCACAGAAATGAAAATAAGGAAGAGTTTCACAGCAAAGAGTCTGGTCTGAAGCCTTGCATAAAGACATGCGTTCCTTTTGGCCCTGGTGATGTCAGAGGAAGCTCGCTTCCCGTTGGGGCGCGTTGGAAGAGCTCTTTTTCTGAAGTGGCCACTGGGTGGCAGTGGTGGCAGCAGCGGCAGCTACAGCTGTGTCCAGGGACTAGCAGAACAGAAACCTAGCAGAACCAAACCAGCTTGAAACAGTAGGAACAGGAAGCAGGCTCAGGCCGGGGTTTCTCTGGTGTAGTAGACGCTTGGGGTATCCCCTTGAATGTATGCCAAGCCTCAAATCATACCTGTCCTCTTCTGAAGAGGGCAGCTTCATCCCTGGGAGCAGAGTAATAATACAAAGTACTTTATAGATTAGCAGCATTTTCTGGTTTACAAAGTGTTTTCACATCTATTAATCAATTCAGTATTCAGAAAACCCTGAAAAGTTGGTATTATTATTTAAAAAATTTTTTGTATTCGAAGTTTAGTTGATTTACAATGTTGTGTTAGTTTCTGGTGTACAGCATAGTGATTCAGTTATAAATATATATTGTTTTTCATTATAGGTTGTTACAAGTTATTGAATATAGTTCCCTGTGCTATACAATAGGACCTTGTTGTTTATCTATTTTCTTTAATTTTTAAAAATTTTCTATTGAAGTATAGTTGATTTATAATGTTTTATCTATTTTATATATAGTAGTTTGTATCTGCTAATCTCAAACTCTTAATTTATCCTTCCCCCCACCCTTTCCCCTTTGGTAACCATAAGTTTGTTTTCTGTCCATGAGTCTCCTTCTGTTTTGTAAATAAGATTATTTGTATAATTTTTTTTAGATTCAAGGTTGGTATTACTAACCCCATTTCACTAATGAGGAAACTCAGTTACAAAGAGGTGTCCAGGATTTACACAATGAATACGTGAAAGAACAAGGATTTGAATTCAAGTCTGTCTGGCTCCAAACACCTGGGCCTTTTGTGCAATATCACAGTGATCAGCTGTCCAGGACTCAGGCTATGACTGCTTCTTCCACGCCTACCTTTTATCTGCCCCCACTTACTCCCCACCACAGGGGAAGGATCTCCAGGATTCCCCCATCTAGGTTTCTGGGCCTTCCAGGAGATCTAGGTTCTGGAGCCTCCCCTGTGAGCCTGCCTCCTCTTCTCACTCCCAGTATCCTGCTGGGCAACATTCTTAGGACCTGAAGATCAGATTCAGAGTCCCCATTGCCTCCCAGCTCTCTTCAGAGTGGGTGCTGTTCCAGCCTGCTCCCTCTCCCTGAGAGCACCTCCCACCTCATCGTCAGAGTCCTCCAGTCCCAGAGCTTGCTTCCTGTGCCTAAGACTTCCATTAATCGCAGAGCCTTAGTTAACCCCAGGAGACTCAGGCCCAGAGCTCCTGACAGCTTGGCATTCCCTAGCACTTGGCTCTCAGTCATCTAGGCTTGGTGTCTGTACTTTCTCTGCTGTATTCAGACCAGGGTCTCCTGGAGTGATAGAGAGAGATGGGTGGTGTGTTGGAAGGGGTGGAGTCTGTAAGGGAAGCATGTTGGCCATCATCTTTGGGGAGGAGTGAACTGCCTCCTCGCCACCTCCTCTTACATATGTAACAGGCATCTTGAAATTAACAGGTGGAAAAACGAACTCCTGATCTTTCCTTAGACCTGCTCCTCTCACAGCCTTCCCTGTCTTTGTCAACAGTAACTTCATATATCCAGTTGTTCAACCAGAAATCTTAGAGTCATTCTTGACTCCTCTCTTTTACATCCCATATCGGTAAATATTGTTGTCTCTACTTTCAAAATCTAGCCAGAATCTGCTATTTCTCACCACCTCCACCACCCTGGTCCAAGCTACCAGCATCTCTGTTGGCCGTAGCCTCTGATCTGGTCTTCCTCCTGTGTCCCCAGCCCTGCAGTCTATTCTCAAGATAGAACAAGCCAGTGATCCTTCTAAAATGTAAATCAGATCCTGACACTTGTCTCTTCTAAACCCTCAATTGTTTCCCAGTCACTGAAAATAAAAGCCAAGGAGTCCTCACAATGGCTTCCAAGGATCTTCATGATCTGGTTTGTGCCAAATTCTCTGGCCTCATCTCTGTTTCCTCTTCCTCACAACCATATGGTCTTTATTCAGAAGTTACCCTAATAATTTAAAACAGAAACCTGCTGTATTCTCTTTCCCTCCTTTATTTTTCTCCATAACAATGATCACAATCTATGTATTTTACTTATTAATTTCATGATCTTTTCCCCTCTCACTAGTCTGTAAGCTCCATTAGAGTGGGAGTTTTTGTCTATTTTGTTTGCTGTTTGTGAACTACTAGTGCCTAGAACTGGACCAAGTGGCTAGTAGGCTCTTGGAAAATATTTGCTTATCCTTTCCTGGATTATGGCCAGTGGCTTTGTGAGGCCACTAAACATAGCAGTTAAGTCCATGGATGGGAGAGCCTGGTTCAAAGGCAGGTCTGCCTGGTTCACATCTTGAGTTTATCACTAATAAGCAAAATACTTAAACTCTCTGTGCCTCAGTTTTTCTGATCAGCAGTAGGAACAATAATGGTACCTACTTCCTAGAGAGCCTGTGGGGTCATTAATAAGAAAAAAGCATTTAGAACAGTGCATTGCACGAAGTATGTGCTATATACACATTTCTTATAATTGTCTGCACATAGAGTTAAGATTTATATCAATAGAGTTGCTAAAATCTTTCAATGTGCTGTCTTACACTTGCCCATGTTAACATTCATTTCCCATGTTTCTGCTCACAGGGGTTTCTGTGATCTTCCTGGAGTTTCAGTTATCTCAGGAGGCTTGGCTCTTCATCTGTCAACTTGGACATTTCCTTGTGTACTCTCTCTTACTGTCATTTAGAAGCTGTTAAATAGTAATCTTACCGGGCCCCAGCTTCCCAATCTGTGCAGTGAGTGGGCTGGACTAGATAATCTCGCTGGGCCTTTCTAACTCTGACAATCTCCCAGGATGGGAGGAGGTACAGGCCCTACCCCCCAACCCCGCCCCCTTGGATATGCCCTCTGGCTGCCAAGGGGAAGGGTGACAGAGTCAGCTGGGCTCAGCTTCGAGGGGAACAGGTAGGAGATGTGCCAAGTTTCTTGGGTGAGGGTGGGGATGGGGTTCCTGGGCTGGCCCAGGCCGGAGGAAGGCGTCAGAGATCACTGTGGTACGGAGAGAGAGGGACCAGGGGAGAAAAGTCACTGTGTGGAGAGATACCCTCTTCATAGGGATGCAACTGTTGCAATGCTAGCAGCCATTTTGGGTCTGGGCATCTTCCTACACAGTCCCGATAGGGCTCTACCCCCTTCAGCCAAGCTGTGAAGGACAGAGTCAGCTGCAGAAGGAGAACAACCTAAACCCACTGACTGCCCTCCTGAGCCCCGGCACTGCCTGCTGCCCCCTATCCCAAGGGACTGACAGAGGGAGCTCTGGCGGGGTCAGGCTGGCCTAGGCTGCACTCACATGCAGCCTCTCGACTCCCCCTTGGGCTTCAAGCATCACCTTCCCTGTTCTCTGCTTTTTTACCACAGGTCAGAGCTAAAGGGCTGGGGAAATCCAGCCACCCTCACTTCTGCCCTTTCCACTTCTGGGGGGACCATGACCAGTACAGAGTTCTCACTGCTCACAACCCTAGGCCCTTACCCAGATCCTGAGGATGGTGAGGTAGAGCTGGACTGCTGGTTTAATGAGGAGTTCAAGTTCATCCTGCTGCCCGTGAGCTATGCAGTTGTCTTCGCGCTGGGGCTAGGCCTCAATGTCCCAACCATCTGGCTCTTCCTCTTTCGCCTCCGACCCTGGGATGCAACGGCCACCTACATGTTCCACTTAGCCTTGTCAGACACTCTGTACGTCCTGTCGCTGCCCACCCTCATCTACTATTACGCAGCCCGCAACCACTGGCCCTTTGGCACGGGGCTTTGCAAGTTCATCCGCTTTCTCTTCTATTGGAACCTCTACTGCAGCATCCTTTTCCTCACCTGCATCAGCGTCTACCGCTACCTGGGCATCTGTCACCCACTGCGGGCTCTCCGCTGGGGCTGCCCGCACCTTGCCAGCCTTCTGTGCCTGGTAGTTTGGTTGGTCGTAGCCGGCTGCCTCGTGCCCAACCTGTTCTTTGTCACAACCAGCCCCAGGGGGGACACCGTCTTGTGCCACGACACCACTCGGCCTGAGGAGTTTGACCACTATGTGCACTTCAGCTCGGCCATCATGGGGCTGCTCTTTGGTGTGCCCTGCCTGGTCACTCTGGTCTGCTATGGGCTCACGGCCCGGCGCCTGTGTCGGCCCTTGCCCGGGGCTGCCCGGTCGCCGTCTCGCCTGCGTTCTCTGCGCACCATTGTTGTGGTGCTGACTGTCTTTGCCGTCTGCTTCATACCCTTCCACATCACCCGCACCATTTATTACTTGGCAAGGCTGTTAGAAGCTGACTGCTGGGTGCTGAACATTGTCAACGTGGTCTACAAAGTGACTCGGCCCCTGGCCAGTGCCAACAGCTGCCTGGATCCTGTGCTCTATTTTCTCACTGGGGACAAGTATCGACATCAGCTCCGGCAACTCTGTAGGAGCGGTTGGCCCCAGCCCCCCACGGCTGCCTCCTCCCTGGCGCTCGTGTCCCTGCCTGAGGACAGCAGCTGCAGGTGGACAGCCTCCTCCCAGGACAGTGGCTGCCGTACTCCTCAGACAGAGAGACTGTGACACTGGAAGCTGGGAAGCGAGAGGAAGGGGGCGCGTTCAGGGCAGAGGAGAGGGAATGTAACAGTGACACTTGATCTGGTTGCTTCCTCTTTTTGTCCAGGCTCTGGAAAAAGGCCCTCACCCTGAGGTTTAGGGGGAGCCAGAGAAATCACGGGAGACCCCATCTTTCCCAAACCCTTCAGTTGCCCTCTCCTATTTAGCCAAAGGTAGCAGCAGCCACTCTTTTTCCTCTGCTTCTTCTTTGTTTCTGTCCCCTTGCTGGGGCCAGTGGTCCTACCAGGCTGCCAGAAGTGTTCCCCAGTCCTCCGTCTCGTGCCCTTTCCCCCTGTATCCTTGTATAGCATGTGTTCTTTTGGCCAGACCAGAGCATGCAACTGGAGGGGTGGAGAAGCTGGGATCATCTCAGAATTGGCCTGACTTATCTGACGGTGAGAGCCAGAATCAGGAAGTGGGGGTACCAGCATATCACAGATGCCTGGGCTGTGACATGTGTAGCACCCACACTCACTTCCTGGTTTCCTCTGGAAGACAGGATGGTCTTGCCTGCCAAGGGGCTGAACAAGTGCCCAGAGAGCCTGTGTGCCAGGGTCCCCACGTGCAGCTGGAGGCATGGCCCTGTTGAACTGATGTGTGTAGCCACGAGGTAGATAGGGAGCCCTGAGTCTTCCCATTGGGAGGCAACCTTGAGGAGGCTCAGGGGGCAGGACCCAAGCAGATAATGGCCTTTGGAATGGGAATGGGACTGGCCCTCGTGTATGATGTTTGCTGAGAACATATTTGACAGTTCTCCCGTACTTAATGAAAGAAAGTGTTGACGGCTCAGAACAAGAGGGAGGAGCTCTCTAGTCAATGGCCATGAGTTCCATCACCAAGTAGTAGAGCCGGTTCGTGCAGAGATTGGGGTGGTTACAGGGACCAAGGCCCAGAGCTGGCTCTTCACTGGTCTCTCAGCTTTTTCTAGCTCCTGCCCTAGATAAATAATCAGTTGTGTCACCAGCTCTTTCCGATCAGCCTTTAGGGCTTCGAGGCCAGGGCTGGGCACTGAGACTGGGCCAGCTTCCCTCAGCTTCCCACCCACTCACTCCCCTCCAGCACCATCTTAGTGTTTATGGGCTTCCTGGAGTAGGGGTGGGGTGTGGAACTTGGGGAGCTAACCCCTGAGCCTTGGGAAGTAAGAGTTTTGGGGCAAGCATTCGTGAGAAGAGTAGGCTTACACTTCCTGGCACCCCTGCTAAAATCGCTTTCCAGCCCATTGGTCTCCTGAATCCCCAGACTTCCTTTTTTTTTTGCCCCACCCTATCTCTGATCCCTTTCTTGTCTATTGAATTCTAAGAGGTCTGTCTTAGAAAGTGAGTTTAGGACTAGTCTACAGAAAAAAAAATGACTTCAATGCCCCTGAGTCCCCTTTTGCATTCTTTTAAGTGCTCCCTCTTCCTCTCTAATATCCAGGCCCCTTCCGCTAGGAGTAAATGAATTGGCTTTCTTCTTACTAGTTTCCCAGTCTCATGGCCACTGCCTCGATGGTTATGTACCCTGTTCCTCACCTCCCTTTTATTCCTGTGACCACAGCCTCCCTGCCACCACAGCCTCCCTGCCTATCACTTGTCCTACTCAGCAACCCCACCCAATAAAGCTGCTGTCTTCATCACACAGTTGACCTGGCCTCGTCCATTTCTCCAGTCCACTCCCCTAGGCTAAATTGAGATTAACTGCCTAGACATTGTGGTCTGCTACTTTTGGACTGCGTTCCCTCACCGTCTAAGTTTAAACACCTTGACTTTCACTTTGGGCCAGTGTTCTCTCTCCTAGGACTAGAGGGGATTGTAGATGAAGACAGAGGGCAAGGTTGGCTTGACCCACTGAAATTTGATGTCTTGGAACTTCATCTAAGCCCTCATTCCTCTGAGCTTGCCAAGTTCCTAGTGAACATTCCAGAGCAATTGTTTTCTGTCTTTTTTACCTTCTCAAGGTCCCAACTCCATCCTACCTTAGGACCTCTTAAGAGTTACCTTGCCTCCTGAAAAACTGAGAAAATCTAATACCTCAACTTCCCTCTGTTTCATTCACCATAAGCTACTTTTGTGTCCATCTTGTCTTTCTCCCTTTCTTCCCTGCAGTCCCCAGAATAAGAGGTGGTCTTCTTTCCTGTTCATTTGCTTATCCCTCTTCATCATTTTCAGTCTCTCTTGTAACTGATTTCATCCCATCTTAAAAAAAAAACAAAAACAAAACAAAACAAAACAAAACCCTCACGTAACAAAAATAAAGCATTACCACGGATACCTTGACCCTGCTAGCTCTTCTGGCTGCTACTCTATCTTATTCATTTCACTGTCAAATTTCTAGTAGGATTACCAGGAATCCCATTTCCTTACCACAAGGTCACCCCTTAACTCTCTGAATCTGGTTTCCTTCCTACACTTTTCTGTATCTAGAACACACATTACCTCATAAACCAGACCTTTTCTTTGCCCTCATCCTCTTTGACTTCTCTGCTTCACTTGACCCTACTGTGTATCTTCTTTAAAACTTCTGGGAGGAGGGGATAGCTCATGTGGTAAAGCACATGCCTAGCATGCACAAGGTCCTGGGTTCAATCCCCAGCACCTCCTCTAAAAATAAATAAACCTAATTACCCACCCCCCCCCAAAATTGGGAGAGGGTACAGCTCCAGTGGTAGAGCACATGCTCAGCATGCATGAAGTCCTGGTTTCAATCTCCAGTACCTCTTCTAAAAATAAATGGATAAACTTAATTACCTATCCCTCATGAAACTTTTTATAAAAGTAACATTAAAAAATTCCATTGTGACATTAAAGAAAAATTTGAACGAAAATATTTACCTATACTTCCCAACCCAGACAGTTGTTTCTATTTTTCCTTTTTCCATGATTTTCCAGTTTATATAATACATATACATATATATATATTTACATAAGTGCAATCATAGTGTACATATATTTTAAATTCTTCTTTTAAAAAACTTTGTATTATAAATGCTCTCATTGTGTTACAGTCTTTCATATTTATCATTTCAGTGGCTGGATAAAATTACATCCATCAGTAGATTATATTTTATTTTACTATTCCCATTATTGGACATTTAAACAACTCCCAGGTTTTCGGTGCTTTTAATATTTTCATGCATATAGCTTTTTTTCTTTTTTTGTAATTCTCTTCCTAGGACAAGTTCCCAGGGGTGGGGTTACCAGATCAAAGAGAATGAGTGTTTCTGTAGAGCTTGATTTCCCAAAGGACTGCACACATTTTTGATACCATAATGACATGTGAGTGTTCCAGTTCCCTTCCATCTCTAGCATTGGACTTTATAAGAACTTTTTTGGGGTGGCTCAAACATTAACTTATTAATTTCCTTTCTTTGATTACTCATGGGATTGAATACTTTCCCATATGTTCACTATTTACATTTTCTTTTGGGTGAACTGTCTGTTTATATCCATCTCCAGTTAGTATCTTAGTGGTATTCTTATCTATCTGAATGTATTCTTTATTTAACACACAGGTTAACCTTTTGTTGTATTTGATATAAGGACCTCTTCCATTATTGTAATACTTTGAATTTTAGTTCCTTATTTTAGCCCCTTGTTTTAAAATTTATCTCTTCCTACTCTTATCTCTCTCTTTCAATTTTTTTTTGTTTTTAAAATTGAACCTTAAAATTCTTTTTTTTTTGAAAGTTTTTTTTTGGGGGGAGGTAATTACATTTATTTAATTAATTTTTGAAATGGGGGTACTAGGCACTGATCCCAGGACCTTGTGCATGCTAAGCACGGGCTCTACCACTGAGTTATACCCGCTCCCCCCTACTCTTATCTCTCTTTGCTGGCTTCTCTTTCTCTTTTACTCCCTAAGTGAACAGAGTTCCAAGATCTGTCAAAGTCATAGCATTTGTCCCCTCCCCCCATCTGACACTTAATTTTCTCTTGGAGAGAACATTTATGCATGTGAATACAATTCAGCTGACTCATAGTCCTTGAGAGTACCTCAGAAATCTTCTAGGGCCTGGGGACTGCCTCACTTTACAAAGGAGGAAACAGGCGCAGAGAGATGACCTGCCCATGACTTAGTAAGTTAGAGGCAGAGCAGAGTCTAGGCCCTAGGTGCCCCGACTTCCAGAGCTCCTTCCATGACACCATGCCAACACAGTTCTGGGCCTGCCATTTCTCCCAAGCTCCACCTCTATGTCTTCAGTTGTCCACTGGACAGTTTCATGGGATCTTCTATTGTTACCTTAAGCCCAGGAGGTCAAAATCTAAACTCCCTGGCCCAGTTTCCCTACTCATCTTGCTCATTTGTGTTTATGGCATCTTCTTTCCTCAAGTCACATGACCTAGGCTCGAAAACACTCAGGCAACTTTGACTCTTCTTCCTCCCTATTTCATGAGATTCTGACATTTCTTCCTTCATCATGTCAATTACAGTTTGCCTTCCTTTATGGTCCCAGGGCTGTCATTCTACTACTGGCTTTTGTTACCCTATCCTTGGCTGACCGTCACTGCCTCCTAACTGGTCTTCCTTACCCCCAGTCTTTCCTCGCATGATATATAGGGTGCATACTGCCAGATTAATTGGCCCCTAGACTGCTTTCACGTTCTCTGTCTCACTCAAAACTTTCATGGTTTCACATTATCCACAAGACAAGTTGAAATCCTTTTGTCAGAAATTCAAAGATGGCTTTTCAGTCTTATTTCCATTTCTCCCCAATACAGATCTCTCTTTTCCAGCTAATTTGATCTCTTCGTTATTTTTCCAAATAAGACTTGCGCTTTCTCGTCTCTCTACCTTTATCCTTCCTTTCCCACACACGTAAGTCCCACTTCCTCTTTGAGGCCTTCTCTGCTGACTCTTACCTACAGTGACCTCCCTGGTCACTCCTAGAGTAGTTATTGTCTATATCAGTGATTTGACACTTTTTTGTCTCTTGATATCACTTATACTATTATCTTAAATTGTTTACCTCTTTATGTGTGTTTGTTTTGAGTTCCTACCTGTAAACCCTTTGAGTTACTGTGATAGAAAGGAAAGAGCATAAAACTGAAAATCAGAAGAACCAAGTTCGAGCCCTGGTTATCAAAGTGAGGCTCAGGTGTGTCACTGTGTCACTTGAGTGAGTCACTCAGACTCTGAGCCACAATTTCATAATCTGTAAAATGAAGATCATAATCTCAGTACTCCAGATTGTGGTAAGACTCTGCAAATCTAGAGAGCTAAGCAAATATAAATGATTGTTTGCATATCATTCTATTTACTCAATAAGTGGTGCTTAATAAATATTTGTTGAATGATTACATGTCAGTAATTCAGTTGAATGTTTTTTCTCCTGGGTATATTTCCGTGTTAAGAAGCCACAGGAGCCCCAAGGAGCAAAAAGATCTAGGGACACTTTAGGAACGATGGAAGTAGGGAGGGTATTGGAAAGATATTTTGAAGGAAGTAAGTCCTGTCCAACATATCTCACTTCCCACTACACTGGCTACTCACTGCTTGGCCCATCTGAAGGAGTAACCTGGATGTGGAGAGAAGAAGATGGTGATACATCTGTATTTCTTTTTCCTTTTCTTTTTTCTCTTTCTTTTATTGAAGTATAGTCAGTCACAATGTGTCAATTTCTGGTGTACATCATAATGTTTTAGTCATACATATACATACATATATTTGTTTTCATATTCTTTTTCATTATGGGTTACTGTAAGATATTGAATATAGTTCCCTGTGCTATACAGAAGAAACTTGTGATTTATCTATTTTACATATAATAGTTAGTATCTTCAAATCTTGAACTACCAATTTATCCCTTCCCACCCTCTTCCCTGCCGGTAACCGTAAGTTTGTTTTTTATGTCTGTGAGTCTGTTTCTGTTTTGTAAAATAAGTTTGTCTTTTTTTTTTTTAGATTTCACATATAAGTTATATCATATGGTATTTTTCTTTCTCTTTCTGGCTTACTTCACTTAGAATAACAATCTCCAGTCCATCCATGTTGCTGCAAATGGCATTATTTTATCCTTTTTTATGGCTGAGTAGTATTCCATTGAATAACTATACCACAAATTCTTTATCTAGTCATCTGTTGATGGACATTTAGATTGTTTCCATGTCTTGGCTATTGTAAATAGTGCTGCTGTGAAAATTGGGGTGCATGTATCTTTTTGAATTAGAGTTACCTCTGGATATATACCCAGGAGTGGGATTGCTGGATCATATGGTAAGTCAATTTTTAGTTTTTTGAGGAATCTCCATACTGTTTTCCACAGTGGCTGCACCAAACTACATTCCCAACCAACTGTGTAGGAGGGTTGCCTTTTCTCCATACCCCCTCTAGCATTTATCGTTTACAGACTTTGAATGATGGCCGTTCTGACTGCTGTGAGGTGATACTTCACTGAGTTTTGATTTGCATTTCCCTGATAATTAGTGATATTAAGCATCAAAGTGTAAATTATTAAAACATGGGAACTTTCCAAGATAAAGAAGAAGATGAAATCCTTCTTGAGGCTGGCCAGTTATTACTGTAAATTTGTATCATAGTGTGAGGCCCTTGGATCTACTGCTGGGAAGGAGAAAGTGGATGTTCTTGGAAAACTTAAGAGAAAAATCAACTAATGACCTCTTAGGTGACATTGTGCTGCTGGTACCTACTCAATTTGTGTACTTCTCACTGCAATTTAACTTATTACTCATTGTAAGCCTCATAACCTTTACTGCACAAATATCCCTTTACCTCCAATGTGAATTAAACATTTCTTCTTACCCATTCTGAGTCTTGCTGGATTCCTTTCCAGAGAGTAGCCATTGCCCTGGTTCTTTGAGGATTTAAGCTAGTTTGATTCTTCAAGTTTTTGTCTTTATTCATTTCTTTAATGGAGTTTCCCAAGGCACATGTTCCAGGATAGTAAGAGGTGTTACATATTTTTAAGGAATTGGGTTAAACAGTGTTAAGCAGCCTTCTCTACTACAGGATTTATCCAGAGCCTTTAACATCATATTGCTCACCGTGGGTTTCTAAGAAGAAGGGTTTCTATATGCAATATCTACCAAACTTATTGACCAAGGAAACTTCCTTCTTTATTTTTTCCTTAGGTTCAGAACCTACCATGCCAAGACACATTTTAGGAGACACTGCTCTAGTAAGGGGACTCTAATATCTTGATCCCACTTGATCAGAGGATAGGAGTTAGCTTATGTCTCCTACTCCTCTAGATTTCCTGTCTTCCACCATGGGCAGATACAGACCCAAAAAAGAAAAGTACTTCTCTTTTTGCAGGAAATCCCATTGCTTTTCAAATCAGAAGACTTTTTCTCCTGCTAATAAAAAGTAAAATATTTTTCCTGCAAACCTTTCCCTTTTGAAATAGAGTGTATCAGTTAGGACTGCATTTGATTGCATGTAACAGAAACCTTATTGTTGATGACTCCATAAAATAGGTATTTTGTTTTTAACTAAAAAATTCTGAGGTAGGCAGTCCAAGGGTGGGTGTGGCTGCTCAAGATAATCAGTACAGCTTTCTATTTCACCATCTTTTTAGTGTGTGCTTCTCATCTTTATGGTTGTAAAATGGTGGCTCAACTTCCAAGTACCTTGACCATGTTCTATGTAGGAAGAAAGGGGTAAGAACATAAGTCAAAAGCCCAAAGGATCTGGTAAACTAAACTGTTTTTCTTTGTTAGAAATACAGTAACCCTTCTAGAATCCCACTCAGTTTGATTTCAAACTCTATTGCAAAGCTATAGGAATTAAAACAGTATGGTATTAGCATAAAAACAGATCAGTGGAACAGAATTGAGAGCTCAGAAATAAATGCATACATATTCGGTTAATTAATTTATGGCATAGGAGCCAAGAATATATAGTGGAAAAAGGAGAGCCTTTTCAATAAATAGTATTGGGATAACTGGACAGGCACATGTGAAAGAATGAAACTGGACCACTGTCTTACACCATACACCAAAATTAACACAAAATGGGTTAAATACTTGAATGTAAAACCTGAAACTATGAAACTCACAGAAAATATAGGTTGTAAGCTCCTTGATACAGGTCTTGGGGATTATTTTTTGAATTTGGCATTAAGAACAAACAACAAAAGGAAAAATAAACTTGTGGGACCACATCAAACTAAAAAGCTCTGCATAACAAAGGAAACCACCAACAAAATGAAAAGGCAGCCTACTGAATGAGAGAAAATACTTGCAAATCATATACCTGATAAGGGGCTAATATCTAAAATATATAAAAAAACTCAGACAACTTCATGGCAGGAAAATAAAACCCCAAACAATCTGATTAAAAAATGGGGAGAAGATCTGAATAGATATCTTCCCCAAGAAGACATCCAAGTGGCCAACAGATACATGAAAACATGCTCTACATCATTAATGATTGGAAATGCAAATCAAAACCACAGTGAGAGACCACTTCACACCTCTTAGAATGGGTGTTATCAAAAGGACTAGAAATAGTAAGTGTTAGCGAGGGTGTGGAGAAAATGGAACTCTCATGCGCTTTTGGTAGGAATGAAAATCGGTGCAGCCACTATGGAAAGAAGTATGGAAGTTTCTCAAATAATTAAAACGTAACTACATATTATCCAGCAATTCCACTTCTAGATATTTATCTGAAGAAAACAAAAACACAAACTTGAAAAGATATATGCCACCCCCATGTTCATTAAGCATTATTTCCATATAAGATATGGAAACAACCTAGGTGTCCATCAATGGGTGAATGGATAAAGAAATTATGAGACACATGCGCATGCACGCATGCGCGTGCGCGCGCGCGCACACACACACACACACACACACACACACACACACACACACACACAGAATGGAATATTACTCAGCCATAAAAAGAGTGAAATCTTGCCACTTGTAAGAACATGGATAGACCTTGAGGGCATTATGCTAAGTGAAATAAGAGAAAGGCAAATACCATATGATCTCTCTTATATATGAAATCTATAAATACTTAAATACATACATACACCCAAGCTCATAGATACAGAGAATAGATTGGTGGTTGCCAGAGGTGGGGGGTAGATGGGAGAAATGGGTGAATTGTTTTTGTTTTCTCTTTTATTTTAAATAAATTGATTTTTTTTATTGAAGTATAGTCAGTTTACAATGTTGGGTCATTTTTTGGTGTACAGAACATTTTTGAATTCAAATCCATGAATAAGTTATGAATGATTCTCATGTAATTCCTTGTTTTAGTCAGTAAGTTCTTATCATTTAACAGCCTAGTATTTATTAATTTATTGTATTTCTCAGCTCCATACTTTTTTGAAAATCAATTTTTTGTTTCCTTGATTTGTTATATTCTGATAACAGAGTATTGAAGTCTTTAATCATATTATACAGCAGACCCTTGATGTGTGAGGAATACATCCCCAGACACGCATCCTAAGACCGTATGATTTTTATCCATAAGTGCAGTTATAACTGAAAAGTGATAACTGAAAATGTCAAGTTTCTCCTTCACACCTTTAATGGGGTGAACCATGAGTTGAAAGTGATAAAACCCTGTTTACATTTTGATACAGTTCAGTTCATTCACTAGCTAAGTCGCTTGTTTCAGGAGGATTAGAGATTGCTCACATGTCATGAACTTTCTGGATTCATTCATCCAACAATGATTTCTTTTTTGTTTGTTTTGTTTTGTTTTTTGTGAGGATGGGGGATTAGGTTTTATTTATTTATTTTTAATGGAGGTACTGGGGATTGAACCCAGGACCTCGTGCATGCTAAGAATGCACTCTACCACTGAGTTATACTCTCCCCTCCAAAACAGTTATTTCTTTAAGTGCCCACAGTGATGCAGGCACTGGGCTAAGGGGTGGGGATACAGAGATGAGCTGCTCACTCATAGCCCCTGTGCTTACAGTGCTTCAGTGTAGTGCAGCTTACTTGCAGATTGTTGAAGCTACATTAAATCTGTAAATTTCAAAGTTCTACTGTATGTTTCTTTTTTCCTCAAACTTCTTTTTTTCACTTTTTAAAAGTGTACTTTTATACTAGCTTATTTAGCTTATTAGACTTCCATTGTACAGAATACTTTTGACCCATTTGCCCCTACTTAATCTATCTTTTTTAGTGCCTTTCTTCTGTGAAATCTCCTATGAAACCCCTTCTTTCCTTCCTGGAAATATATATTAGGTGGCTATCACATGCCAGACATAGTTTCTATTCTCATGAAGCTCTCAAATTAGTAGGAAAGACTTGCCTGGAAGCAAATAATTATGCTGTAATATAATAGTTAAATACCATAGTAAAACCAAAGAAAGGCTATGGAAGAATGGAAGGAGGGGTTATTAATTCTGCCTGGTGAAGGCTTCACTGTGAAGGTGATATTTGATGTGGACTTCAAGGAAGAATTGACTCTACCATGTAGGGAGAACATGTGCCAAGACAAAGAAATGTGAAAATGTTCAGAAACCATGAAGTAGTCCAGTGTACTACTTTAGGCCATGATAGGGAATGCTTGGAAATTTATAGAGGCCAGAGTGTGAAGGATATTTATTGGCCTTCGTGATCAATCAACTCTTATGTGTATGGGAAGGTGTTGAACTCCAACAGATAGACAGCCTGGGTCCAAAAAACTATGACCAAGTATAGTTCTTCCTCTGTGGGGGAGCCATCTGGATATCACTTGAGTACTGTGCCCCCTTTCTGCCTCCACAGTTACCTCAGACAGATCCCTGGCCATTTGGCCAGCTAGGGTCACCATCCTGGCCACTCTTTAGAAATGCTCCATCCTGCCCTCATGTTCCATGATTAAGTCCTGCTGATCAGTTCCCTTGATGATCATCACATACAAATTTACTGCGACATCCAGAGTGTGGAGCAACAGCTTAGAGTATGAGTATCTCCAAAATATTCAGAGGGAGGAGGAGGAAGAGAGCAAGAGATTTTGTTGTTGGGTAGAAGGTGAGGGTGGTAAGAAAAGATATGGGGGGAGTGAATTTTTGAGAAGGAACGTGTAGCTAGTGCCAATAAGAAAGCAAAGGCTTAAACTGCAATCCATCTGTTCTTCTTTTCCAGGTAAACTTCCTTCCCATGTGTGCCCTTGAGACTCTTCTGGAAGAAACCTGCTCTCCTTTCCTCTTCCTGGACAACCAAAACAGGTGGGAGCAATTCAAATCCAATTCTCCTTTTATTCAGTTGCCTTCTGATCACCTCCTATGAGGTTTTGACTCATCCAGTGAACCTGTATGACTCGTCCCAAGGCTTTTCTCAATCTGATGGGCTCCAAAATCAAATCAGCTACCTTCCCTATAATGCCAGCAGCCTTCTCTGCCATTCTAAGGAGTACAAACTTTACCCTGTAGACCAGCATTTCTAGGACTATATTTAGAGGAACTTTCAATGTTTCATGAGATGGTAATAGGTGTTATTTAAACAAGGGTTCCATTGTCAGATAAGTTTGGAATCCTGAGTAAAATGCCTTTGATCTGTCTGAAAGTTGTACTTGTTAGCTTAGTGGTATGGACATGAGGAAAGCCTTTCTATTTGAAGACAGCAGATTACCACACAAAAACTTGTATATAAATGTTAATTCATAATAGCAGAAAACCCCCAAATCCATTAACTAGTGAATGGATTGAAAAATGGGATATATGCATACAATGAAATATTTATTCAGTCATAACAAGAATAAAATACTGATAGATGCTACAACATAGATGAACCTTGAAATCATTATGCTAAGAGAAAGAAGCCAGTCACAAAGACCACATATTCTATGATTCCATTTAGATAAAATATCCAGAATTGCAAATCCATAGAGATAGAAAGTAGATTAGTGGTTGCCAAGGGCTGAGGATGGGAGAATGTGGAGTGACTGCTAATGTGTATTGGATTTCTTTTTTGAGGTGCTGAAAAATGTTCTAAAATGAGATAGTGGTAGTAGTTGCACAACTCTGAAAATACTAAATACTACTGAATTTAAATGGGTTAAATTTATGGTATGCAAATACGTCTTAGTTTAAAAATGCATGAATGGAGTGGGGCCTGGGAAAAATGCATTAATACAAAAACAACAACAACAACAACCTGAGTGGTGGCTACTCAGGATGCCTGGCCATCATCTGAGTCCTTCAGGCCCTGGTGGTTTGGGCTCTGAGAGGAAATCCAATAGGGGGTGGGGCCTGAGGAATGACTGAGTGAAGCTCCTCAGGGGCAGTGACTTCAAGGGCTCTGTGGCAAGGATGGAATTCCTCGTGCCCTTCCCTTCCTCATTTAGCCCTCCCGCCTCTCCATTTCTCCCCTTTTGGTTAGCAGTGATTGAGTCTCCTCTCCAAGGCATGCATTCCTGAGCATGCAGCTCCTCCTGTCACAGGAAAAGCAGCTTTTGGGTCTCTGAGCAGCCGTACTGGGTCTTGTGCTGATCAAACAGTTTGTGCAGGGCATCCATATAGAGTGCATGATATTTGTCCACCACCTCCTGGCTTGGTTTTTCAATTTTGGGCAGAGGCAGGGGCTCCCCAACTGCCAAGAGAGATGGGAAGAAAGAAAGGGCAAGTGTCAGAATCTTCTCTTTCTTTAACCTCCTTCTCCTTCCCTGGGCAGTGTCCTGTCACATTCCAAGATGATTCCCAGCTTCTCCCCTTCGGCTGCCCTCTTCTTTGGTGGGGTCAGGCTGGGGAGGCCAGAGGTTGAGGTTGAGAAAGAGCTGAGGTAGCCTTGGGGCTGAGAGCAGCACTCACCCACAGTGACGATAGGCAGTGAGTATGGCAGGAGCCCAGTGGAGCCTTGGCGGAAACCTCGTCCATAGAAGACACAAAAATAGAAACCAAAGATCTGGCGAAAGTGTCTCTGAAACTTGTACATACAGCTGTCCTTGTGGTACAACACCTGATCATACACCTCAGTTTCTCCAAAAGTGAAGGTGGGGACCAGATGAGCCCTGGAGGAAAACCCTGATTTATTTCTCACACACAGGCTAGGGTGGAGAGCACCCCCGCCCCCAAGAAAGAACATTTGTTCCTGGCCAGCTTCCCATCTCTTATAAAATCCCTGTGGTGTAAAGTGTTTCTTCTTGCACTGAACACAACTCTTGTATTTAGTGTCTCTTGTCCTGACATTTTCAAGGCCAGTGAGAATACTATCCCTGGGCTAGGATCACAGATCCTAGGGGCAAGATATAGGGGTAGAGATCCACAGAGACCCATCAACTAGACAAAAAGCTTCCAGGAGGTGTCATGAAGGGGAATATCTGATTCTGTTTCTACTAGTAGGAAGCACAGAGAAAATTATGGTGATTTGCACAGATGTGTTCAAGGTATGCCCCTCGCCCACAAGGACTGTGTGTAAGGTATTCTGTCTGAGGGTCTTGAGATTAGAGCAGAGAAAAGTTGTTTCCCTCTCACAGACCATGGAAATCCACCCTGACCTGGAAATCCAGCCCTAGGTAGAGAAGCAGGCTCCTTAAGCCTTCCTGGGAGAGAAGAGGAAAGAGAACACCGTCTCTTACACAAATCTTTCTGAGTTATTACTCATAGTCTCGGCACTCTGACATATGTGACCTTACTGCTTCTTCACGGTGGAGATAATGGAGAACACCCTGAGGGGTTATTTTCTTTTTCTTATATATTCAGAAGCCCGGGGTCAGGAGGGATGGAAGGTCACTCAGGCAGTCAGTGAGTGGCAGGACCTGGACTAGAACCCAGGACTCTTTCCTCCCAGCTCAGAGCTCTCTCTCCTACATTATGCTCCAAACTGGTGACCAGACCACTCAGGCAAGGCCCTTAGAAGAAGTATTTCCCCTCTTCTGTGAGTCTGCTATGGGACAGTTGTCCTGTGTCCAGTGAACTGGCCTGCTGATTTGATGCCCACCCTCAGCTCCAGCCTTGGACTCTTGCTCTTTACGCCTCAGTCAGAGTGGCTAATGTTTATCTATCTCTTATTGTGTGCCAGCCACATGGTGGGTGTTTTATATAGAAGAACTCCCTGAAACCCCACCATAATCCTGTGAAATAGGTATAGTTATTAGTAGTCACATTATGAAGATGAAAACACCAAGGCTCAGAGTGATTAAGTAACCTATTTCAGAGTGCACAGTAAATCGTGGAGTCAGGATTTTAAATGAGGCCCCTAACTCCAGACCCGACACGCATACTCACCATACTGTACTGCCTCTTGCACTTACCGTTAACAAACAGATGTCAATGTCAATATCGCTAGAGATGATGTGGGTGTCATCCAGGTACTAGGGAAGCCCTAGCCAAGCCCCCCTGATAATCAGTCTGGGTCTCTGGTTTTGGTTTCCTCTAGCTCAGAAGGAGTGGATGACCTAAATCGTTTTGAAATTCTACGGCCATCTCTTCTACTCACTAGGAAGTTCCACTGGGGTAAGACTCATGTCTGATTCATCTTGGCATCACCTACCAGGTTGTGCTGCTCAGAGAAGGACACCTACTCATGCCCAAGGAGGGACACCTACCTGTGCTGGAGGGACACATACCCGTGCTGGAGAGCTGTGCGCACAAAGCCCTTGTGCTTACGAAGGATGAGGGTTGTAGTGTTGGGCATGCTCAGCAGGGCCTCTCCCACCCCTCCCACTACAATGCCCACGAGGTTGCCAGTGCCATGGCTTAGCAGGTAGTCGATGGCTGACCGACTCACAGAGCACAGACCTGGGGAGAGCCAAGGAACAGAGAGAGGAGCGACATGATCAGGAGAGAGGGAAATAGCAGAGAGGGAACACCCTCCACTCTACTCACTAGCTTGTGTGTGTGCCCTCTGTTCCCATGGGTCCCAGGAGGAGAATCAATGAATGGGACCAAAGGTGTGGAGAAGAGACGGCTGTGGCCAGCAAACACAACACGTTTCACTTTGAGGCCATATCTCCACTTTGCAGAAGGCACTGGGTGGAAACTATAGTAGGAGGGTTTTCAGCGGGATAACCAGAAGGACTTTCTGCATCCCAACTGTAATTCTCCTCTTTACTTCTCCTCTGTTGCTGTGAATAGCCACAGCACTGGAGCACATACTCTTTGGCAGACACTATCTTGGATGTTTTTACTTGTATTATCTCATTTAGTCATCACATCACATCTGAGGTTAGACTGTTACCATCAGTGCTACTTTACAGATGAGGAAACTGAGACTCTATAGGTTCAGTAGCTTGTCCAAGACCAAACAGTAAGTGGCAGACCAGTTTTCAAACCAAGGCAGTTTAGCTCTGGAACATATGCTTTTAACTACTATGCTATGATGTTGGGGGTGGGGAGGGGAGAGGGGACTCAGAAGGAGGGGATGGGGCTTTAAAATATGCAGCTCCAAGCAGAGAGATGGGCCAGAAGCTCTAGTAAGTATGGTCAGAGGCACCTTTGGCCATGAGGTAGTCCCTAAGAAAGGGGACCTTGAAGAACCAGGACAGTGTGGCCAGATAGGAAGTGATGCCTGGGAAGATCTTCGAGAAGCCTGTGGCCTCAGTGCAGAAGTTGCAGACACCGCCAAACGTCATGATGCCATGGGGGTGAACCCCCATGAGGTAGTTGTGCTCAGGTGACAGGTCTTTAGTCTTCAGGATCTGCAGCCATGGAGAGAAATGCCAGAGGTCATGACGTGAGATCACACAAGAAAGCAAGGGCAAAGACACTTCAGGATTCAGGGCACTCTCCAAAGCAGAGCTTTTCAACAGAGGTGCCAGGAGTGGCTTTCAGGGGGCCAAGATGGCAGACTCCTCTGGCCCTGGGAGACCAGGTAGGATCTGGGGAAGCTAGAACTGCAGGACCTCCTGCCTGTGGCTGCAAGCAGTCTCAGCCGTGTATGCCAGTGCCCTGTAGGCATGGGATCGTTTTCTGGGAGTGCTGTTACATGAAAGAGGTTGGCAAAAATCAGGGCACTGTTTGCTGTCCATTCCAAAGAATACTCAGAGGATCAGCATAGCAGTACATTTCTAGAACCTCCTCCTGGTATTTTCTCCCCTCGAATCCCTTCCAGTGCCAGTATAAGTAAGTTGTTTTTTTTTTTTTTAATGGAGGTACTGGGGGTTGAACCCAGGACCTCGTGCATATATATATATATATATATATACATATATATATATATATATATATACTTTTTCAGATTCTTTTTCATTATAGGTTATTACAAGATATTGAATAGAGTTCCATGTGCTATACAGGAGAAACTTGCTGTTTATTTTGGATGTGAGCTTTTTAATGGCAGATGATTGCATACTACTCACTTCTCTGTACCCCAGACATGCATAATGGAGTAGCCTTTCTTTTTTGGGGGGAGGATGGGAGGTAATTAAGTATACTTACTTATTTTCAATGGCGTTACTGGGGATTGAACCCAGAACTCGTGCATGGTAAGCACACACTCTACCACTGAGCTATACCCTCCTCCTGCGGAGCAGCCTTTCAATCAATGTTTGTTAAACTGATCTGTATTTGCCTTTCTGCCTGCGTCATCTGGTGGGTCATGCCAAGGGCATTCAAAGTATCCTGGCAGTGTAGCGAGTGCCCAGTAGCAGCGTTGGCTGAAGTCTGTCTAACCTGCTCTGAGATGTCTCTGGGATGCTCATTTTTCTGATGGATGACCCTAGTAATTTGGTACAATTGCTAGTATTTTGGAAACTGTGAGGGATGCTGAGAAAGGGACACTTACCGAAATGGGGAAATAGTCCCTCATGTGGGTCCAGGCACACCAATTCCTTACCCAGGCTGATCGCCTGCCACCTGAGATAGAGATATCAATAGGGGATGGTGTTTGTGTGTGCCAAGCCCACCCCTCCTGCTCACCCAGGGCTTCCCTAGCAGCATGGAAGGACCACAGCTCTGCTAGAGAGGTGGAAAAGCCAGAGACCCCAGGACAGACCCAGCTCCTGTGGGCCTGAGAACTTGGATGAGAGGCGTGGCATGGTAAGTAGGACTCTCCGGTTACAGGTTAAGATAGAACATTCTTAGGTTCTGTTCTTTCTAGGGTCCATGAGTCTTACCTTGGTCTGGGGTCTTCCAGTCCAGGAAAAACCAGGCAAAGTAAAGAGCTGATAGTGGCCACCAGGATGTAAACAGCAGGTAAATGGACAATGGCGGGAAGATCCAAACTGATGAGGGAGCAGATAAGACTGAATTTGTGCTACTAGGAGAACTCGGCCATGTCCAGCCCCATTAAGAGCCCTCCAAACTCTCCAAGCCTCTGGTCCTGGCCTTCTGCACAATGCAGCTCCTGCCCATCCATCATCCAGGTCCACTTATCCTTCACACTTTCCCTGTATCATCCATGGTACCTACCAGCCCTATTTCTCTGCTTACCTGTCACCCCTGTCCACCTGCCTCCTTGCCTGCTCGCCACCCCTGTACTCCTGCTCCCTGCCTGCCACCAGCTTTTCCCCCACTGCTTCACCAGCTTTCACTCGTCTCCTGTCTCCCTCCCTAGTCACCTTTCCTGAACCCTTGTTAACCACTAGCTCATTCTCCCTTGCCCATACACTGTCCATAACTTCCCATACCCCGGGCATACAGCATCTGCATCCTTCTACTGTTTCCCATTCTTGTCCTCTTGCCCCTTCTCCACTCCTTCTGTTATTTCAGTTTCCCCCACCCTATGCTGCTACTACCCCCACTCCCTATGGAATGGGGGAATCCTATGGTTCAAACACAGGCTGTACTTCTCTAAGTCTGGAATGCTAATGCTTCCTCTGTCCCACTCCCCACACTTCCTTGATTATGGAAATATCACGCCTATTTCCATGGGCCTCATTTCTTCTCTCCAGAGAATGAGAATTAGGAAGTGGCTGAAATTAGCTAGATCCACTCATTTCCATGATGACCCTGTTCTACCTCCCCTCATCCCCTCCCCGCCCCATCTTCACTGTCCCCTGTGGCTCGGTCTCTTCCTTCTCCAGGGAGCTCATGGAACTGGAGACTCCTTGGCTTTACTCTGTAGTGCCACCTGAGATCTGAGATGATCAAAGGCCAGAGATGAGACCTCCCATGAGCAGAAAAATCACCCCAGATCTAGCCCTGGCTTCTGCCTCTGGCTTCTTGCCACACACATATCAGTACTCACATAGGATAAGGAAGCTCAAGGGCCATTGCAGAACCATCAGACTCTGGAAGTGATTAGGCTGCTTGAAAGAAAGCATGATGCCCAAGAGCCTGAAGGAGGCGAAAGTCCCAACACAATGTTCCAACCAAAGGTGCCACCAGCCTTTGGAAGCTCACTCGAGAGTGAATGCGTATGGTTATGAGGATGTTCACCTGCCTCTACCCTTCCTTGTCCTGCCCCACACCCACTGAATGGGGCAGTCTCTGGAGTGCTAAGGACTGCCCCACCAGGTCTGAGCCCTGGGTGCTGCCCATTTACCCTTTGACTCTCTTTCCTGGGATTATTAGGACATCAGGTTGGAGAAAGGTGAGAAGGGCTGCCATCTAGGCCTAGTAACCCAGAGGTTCAGAGAAGGGAAAAGCCCCTCACATCACAGGCCACCCTGAGACTACTGGGGTTATGAGCTCAGGGAGATGCCTGGTGGGAAGGGAGTTCTGTGGGTTTGTGGGGTGAAGAGCATCTGGGATCAGGTCTCTGTTGAGACTGACTGGTGCCCTGAAGCAGCCTGGTTTGAGGCTGTCCCCCTTTTAAAATTTTCTATTATAAAAATTTCTACACACACACACAAATAGAGAATGCAAGAAATGTTCATTTATTTTACTTTATTGTTTATTTTTGGTTTTTTACTTTGGGGGAGTAATTTGATTGATTGGTTAATGGAGGTACTGGGGATTAAACCCAGGACCTTGTACATGCTAAGCACACGCTTTATCATTGAGCTCTACCCTCCCTGCTAAGAAATGCTCATCTTTGTGTTCATGCTTTATGTTCATCTTCAACAACTATTAACATTTTGCGACACTTGTTTCATCTATCTCACACTCTTTTTTTTTTCCCTTGGAGTGTTTTAAAGCAATTCTAAGACATCATGTCATTTCATCTCTAAATACTTCACTATGCATCTACAAAAAGATGGCCATTTTCTTCCATAATAACAATGCCATTATCACCCTGAACAAATGTAATATTTCTTTAATAATATCTAATAAGCAGTCCATATTCAAATGTCTTTTTCTAGTTGATTAATGTGAATCAAGATCTGAACAAGGTCCACTGATTATATTTGGATATTATGTCTCTTAAGTCTCCCTCTTTCTCTTTAATTTTTCATTGTGAAATAAAACCCAGATACAGAAAAGCACCTAAAACAAATGTATGGCTTAATGAATAATTACTAAAAAAAAAACAAAACACCTCGCAGCCACTGCTAGATCAAGAAATAGGGCTTTTCCACCCATCCCAGAAGCCTCTCTTGTGTTCTGTTCTAGTAACAACTTTCTTCCTTCTCTGAAAGTAACCATTATCCTGACATTTAGAGGAATCTTTTCCTTGCATTTCTCTGCTTTTATCACCCAAACATACTTCCCTAATGACTATGATTTAAGTCTTGTCCATTGAAAAAATTCGTATGTCCCTTAAATTTTCTCCTTCTTAAACTTTTTATTTTGGAATAATTTTAGATTTATAGGAGAGTTGCAAAGATAGTGAGAGAGTGTCCTATACCCTTCACCCAGCTTCCCCTATGTAACTATGTTATATAGATGTTACCATCTTGTGTAACCATAGTAGAGTTATCACAGCTAAGAAACCAATATTGGTACCTTACTATTAACTTAACTCCAGCCTTTATTCAGTTCTCCCAATGTCCATCTTCTTTCTGTTACAGGATTCTATCAGGTCCCACATTGTGTTTCATCATCATGTCTCCTTAGTCTCCTCCAATCTGTGACAGTTTTTTGGTCTTTCCTTGTCTTTTATGACCTTGGCATTTTGAAGAGTTTAAGTCTGTTTTCACCTCCAGGTTCCCCCTCCATCCGTTTCTTTTCCTGACTATTTGTCTGTTGAACAACCCACATTTGACCTGGAGAATCTCCCACAGCCTGGACTTTGCTTGCTGCGTACTCATGGTGTACCTTAGCAGCTTCCTCTGTGTTTCCGGGAGATTGGCAGCTGGATTCAAAGACTGGATCAGACTTTGGTTTGAGCCTTTTGGCAAGATATTCATTTATTTTTTTTAAAAATTGAAGTATAGTTGATTTGCAATGTTGTGTTAGTTTCCAGTATCCAGCAAAGTGATTCGGTTCTATTTATTTACTTTTTTTGCGGGGGACCAGTAATTAGTTTTGTTTGTTTGTTTATTTAATGGAGGTACTTGGGACTGAACCCAGGACCTTGTGCATGCTAAGCATGCGCTCTACCACTGAGCTCTACCCTCCCTACCTTTTCATTTACTTTTTTAACACAGAACAACCCCACTTCCTACCCTCCTTTTTCCCCTGCCATTGACCTGCTGAAGACTGTTCTCCCTTGGAGTAAGCCAGTCTTCCACCCCTCAGCACCAGCTCCCATGAGCAGGGGTGAAGATGTAGAGCTGGATTCGGAAGTGAGTTCCAAGTCCAGGCCAAAATGAGGGCTGGGGCAGCAAAGTACTCGTTTCTCTCTCTGACGCCTGTCTCTTATCACGTTATAACTTCATGCCCTTTGAAGCAACTTGAGTTATCTTGGGGTTTTTTTTTTTCATTTTGTTCTGTTTTTTGTTTCTGTTTTTGTTTTTGTTTGCTTTTCACACCTGAAGACTATAGGCTTCTAAAGGGGTAGGGACCATATCTTATTTGTCAGTGCATCTGCCCCTAATGCCTGGAACATCCTAGGTCCTTGGTATTAAATGAACCGTCAATAAGTTAGTATCTTAGTTTGAGGTCTGTGATCAGGATGGTTACTTATGGGTACTGAGACCACAGGAGTCCTGTGGAAGAGTGTGTTCTGGGGACATGCATGGGAAGGACAAGAGGCTATATAGAAATAGAGAACAAGGGACAGACTGCAAAAGAGGAAAAGAATGAGAGAAAGGAAGGCAAGTGCTGACCTTTAAGTCAGTTTGGCAAAGGACAAAGTTCTACCTACTTTGCCTTCCCTGCACCTGGAGGGCTGTCCCCACTCCAGCTTTTCCTGCTAATTGAATATCAGCTTGGCCCTCAAGCAAAAGTGAGCATTCAAGTATTGCCATCTTCTGTAATCCCTGTTGACATCCCTGGGGTTGAGGGTGAGGACTAGCCCCTGGCAATACAGGGACAATTAGCATTCTGTCTTTCCAGAATAGAATTTTCTGGGCTAACACCAACTCCCTCTCCGTGCTCTCTTGTCCTAAATTGTCTTATTTAGGATTTCTCCTGGATGAACTTTTTTTTCCTTTTTAAGTTTTATTTTATTGAGTTATAGTCAGTTTACAATGTTGTGTCAATTTCCAGTGTAGAACACAATTTTTCAGTTATACATGAACATACATATATTCATTGTCGCATACTTTTTCACCGTGAGCTACCACAAGATCTTGTATATATTTCCCTGTGCTATACAGTATAATCTTGTTTATCTATTGAACTTCTAATAATTTGTGCACTTTCAGTTTCCCCCTTTATTTCCTCTTGCCCACCCCCAGAAAAAAGGGAAGTAAGTTGTTAAGAATCCGTTCAAGCTACAGAGAGTTGATCTGTATGTATATTTTCCCTTTTAGCAGCAGACCTGATCCTTTGCTTTAGTATTTTAAAATGTCATGGACTTCCACAAAATAATAGTTGTATTGTTAATATCCCTTGATTGAGAACTGTATAATGAACTAAAGCACTGTGGCTCAACATCATGATAGTATATATCATGACATTTGAAAAAAATGTGTAAGCATTTTTTTATTCATTCTAGACAGTGCTTGGGCCATATTGGACTTTCCAGAATCCTTGTAATAATTAAGTTACTCCCTGCAACCCCCCAGTGGTTTGCTGCCTACTGGTGAGAAGCAATGGCTGGTTTGCTTTTTTCAAAATGGAAATGGATTTATCGTTTTTTCTGATTATAAAAATAAGCCGGAGAAATCATAAAACTTTCAGACTATGCAGGAAAGCATAAAGGGAACAAAAGTCACTTATAATCTCACCACCTAGAAATAACAACTGTTAACTGTTCACATCTTGGTATCTCTCTTTCTTGACTTTTTCCTGTATAAATGTAAAGATAGAAATAGTGTCACTGTCACTGTAAAGAGCTTGGGCTCTTGAGTCCAGCATATCTAGGTCTGTAGGTAGGAGGACACTGAAGCACTAAGATGAGTAAATACCTACCTATGTCATAGGGTTGTCATGAGAGTAAGTAATTAACATAAAGCATTTTCTTCAGTGCCTTGTTTGTCTATATGCTCATATTTAAAGCTCTCTAAATGTTAGTTACTATGTATAATTTATTGATCTTTTTTAAAAAAGTATAGTCAGTTTACAGTGTGTCAATTTCTAGTGTATGGCATAATGTTTCAGTCATATAGATACATACATATATTTGTTTTCATATTCTTTTTCATTATAGGTTACTACAAGATATTGAATATAGTTCTCTATGCTATACAGTAGAAACTTGTTGTTTATCTATTCTGTATATAGTAGTTAGTATCTGCAGATCTCCAACTCCCAAATTATCCCTTCCTATCACTTTCCCCTCCATTAACCATAAGTTTGTTTTTTATGTCTGTGAGTCTGTTTCTGTTTTGTAGATAAGTTCATTAGCATCTTCTTTTTTTTTTTAGATTCCACATATGAATGATATCATATGGTATTTTTCTTTCTCTTTCTGGCTTACTTCACTTAAAATGATAATCTCCAGGTCTATCCATGTTGCAAATGGCATTATTTTTTTGCAGCTGAGTAGTATTCCATTGTATACATATACCAGAACTTCTTTATCCAGTCATCTGTCAATGGACATTTAGGTTGTTTCCATATCTTGGGTATTGTAGCTAGTGCTGCTATGAACATTGGGGTGCATGTATCTTTTCACTATGTATAATTTCTGAATCAAAATGGAATCATATTCTCTGTACTGTTTTGTAACCCACTTTCTCACCTAACAGTATATCATGGACATTTTTCATGTCAGTTTTCTTCCTATAACATCAGCATTTCATTGTATGGCTATGCCATGATTCATTTAACCAATCTATTAAGGAGGAAGCACTAATTTTTAGATATTCCTCTTTCACTATCTGGTCAGACTTCTAGGTCTTTTAAGGGTAGGTGAAAGGTCACTGATTGGAAACCGTCACTTACCTGCAGCCCTTTCAGTGGGTACTGCTCAGTTTCCTCTCTCCCAGCAGTTTTTAAGATTTACTGGTGCAGAAAGTGGAATACTCTCAAGCCTTTGTTAACCAGGTACGGTCCAGGAACCAGGTAGCACAGTCAGCAGAATCAGTCTCTGTCTCCAAGGAGATGACTGGGTCTGAAAAGAGGGCTTGACCCTTTTTTCCAAACAGCTTAAGAAGCAGGTTTCTTGAAGGTCTCCAATACCACTAGACCTGGCAGGGCTGCCACTTAGGTTCACCTCGACTCAATCTCAGGAACGTTTAAGCACAAGCTAAGTCCAAGGCCAAGGTGAGGTGTGGAAAAATGAGTCTTGAGAGCTGTGGATCACTGAGATCAGCCTGTACCCAGGAAAAGTCAGGGCAAGAAATCTGTTTTATCAACATGTTGGTTTCTATGCTTTCATATTGTTTTCTTTTTCTTTTTGAGAAAAAAATTTTTTTCTAATCTCACCTGAACTAAGGACAAAAGTGACTGCAATTTCCTAGACCAGAAACTTTCTTGGTATGTGGGTGGTCCTGACTGCCATGAATGGTATCAAAGAAAATGGAGTGATAGCCAAAAGAAATTAGGAAACATGGGAATGTGAGAACTGGTTGTAAGTACACTGATCCTTTCTTTTCTTCCTTTTTTTTAAACATGACCTCACATAATTGTATTAATTGTAATACTTGGTTGATGACACACTCTTCATTGTTTTATGGATGTCTCTCTTCTCTATTTTTCTATCTTTTCTTTCTTTCTATCTTTTCATTCATTCATTTATTTTTCCAGAAGGGATTGCCCTCTTGAGTACTACACATGAGAAGTGCTGTCTTGCCCCTGGGTCACAATTTAGCAGCTAATTATCTGATCTTGGCCTTCACTTCCTTCTCAGACGTCTGAAGGTATTTGCTACAACTTTGGTCATACAGTTCTTCTTTTCCTTCTCTTCAGTCCCTGGCCTGGGAAGGATTCATCAGAGTGGCATCAAATCCTTAAGTGAGTTCCATCACAATAGGATGTGGGCAGCAAATAGCCAAAGCAGGTCACAGGGAAGGATGAGCAGGCATTGATAATTCCCCAAAGCCAATGCCTGGTCCTATGGAGATCTGGATATCAGAAACAATTTGAAGTTCTAAGATCTGAAATGGCAGCAAGGTGTGGAGATCAAGGCAAGAATAAACCAAAAGATAAGGCCATTCCAAAAGGTGACACAGCCTGTTGAAAACACCCACATGTAGTCCTAGATCAAAGGTGAAGAGAGGTCAGAAGGACAAGTGATCTTGATCTCTCTGTCCAGGTGATTAGGACAATCAGACAGGGGTCTTGCCCTTTCCCTACCTGCTTTGGCATGCTGGTCCAGCCTGTCATGCAGTGTCATCAGCCAGCCTCAGTTTATCCTGCAAGTGATACTGCCTGCTTCTGACTCTCTGCCTATTCCTTTTAAGCCTGTTTTGCATGATGAACAATTGGATGAATTCATGCTGCATCGTGTGTTCAGAAATAGCCAAGCTGGGGGTGGCAGGAATCAAGGATTTGTTTAGTGCAGCATGAGAGCTACAGGAGTGAAAACCAGAGTCTGCAAAGAAGGAACCTGTCATATCACCAAGTAAGGTTGGGCAGGTGCTAACCTGCTTCAGTTTCCCTGATGCCGCTGGACTCTGAGGGACTAAGAGCCGATCCATCTGAAGAGGAATGGTTTATTGGTCGCAAACGCTCTGGTGCCTGAGCAGCCTCAAGGGATTCTTTCTAACTCACAAGTCCAGGCACTGATAACAGCCATTTATCGCATACATTATATCCCTGTTACAGTCGTTTACCTTACAGGCCCTTTGATGTTGCTGGAAGATCTGACTTTCCCATACTTTTCACCTTTGATGCCAGTCGTAAAGAATCATAAAAATTCTTCATCATATCTCCTAGGGGGAGCTAGCTGGTGTGGCTTGATTCTTTCAAGGTCCCATTTTTGTCTTATAAGGTATAGTACACTTGCCAAAGTGTCTGTAGCTGCTGGGAGGTGGGTGGAGAGGGCTTCGCTGTCTACTCAGGGTAGTGGGGAATTACATCAGCCTGCACTGTCCTTACCTGTTCTAAAAACAAAACTTTGCATATGGTTTGTGTGGCCTACGGGAAGGGCTGGACAAACATGTACACACAGGGGTCAGGGAGATCCAGGAGGGGCCAAGACCTACATGCTGAGCCACAAGTTGTAAACTCAAATGTCTCTAGGGACCAGAGGTACCAGAAATGAGGGAACAGGCTGAGAGTGTAATAGGAAGTG